CAATTCAAAATTGCGATTATTATTTTGTTCTTCTATTATTTTTTTTTTCTTTTTCGTTCTCTTTTATGTTCTGACTATGAACTGGATACATATACATGTTTGTCTACGTTGGATACAGAAAGCAAGCATATGTAAATGAACACCCTCATTTTAAAGGCTCGTATCTTATGGTTATGTCTACTTGATGTGTGCGCATAGGATAGAAGGAGAAAGTAAAAACATATATTATTCAAAGTTTTCTATTCGAATTATAGATAATTAATAAAAATAAATTAAGAAAAGATAACATATGGCTCCACCAACAACACCAGCTAGAAGTGGCCGGAAAGGTGGTGATCGAAAATCAAAATCGGCTCGTGCAGGTTGATTTTCTATTTATTTACATAATCATTTTAATATGATATTTATAAATATTTTCAAGGTGTTCTTTTTTCGGTACCACGTTTTCATCGTTATATAAAAAAGAGTACTCCAAAAAGTCGTGTAACTATGGCTGCTGCAGTTTATACAGCTGCTGTGGTTTGTATTATTATTTTATTTAATCTTTATGAATTTTTTTTATTCATATACATTTTTGAATTTAGATTGAATATTTAACAGCTGAAGTTCTCGAATTATCAGGTAATGCAGCTAAAGATCATAAAAAACAACGCATCAATGCACGACATGTATTTTTGGCTGTTAGCATTGATGAAGAACTCAAGAAGGTTTTAGTGTTTTTGCATAGAAAATTTAAAATTTATTTATTTATTTATTTATTTATTTAGCTTCTCCATGGTGTAACAATTCCACAAGGTTAGATTAAAAAAAAAACATATGTAGAAATAACTGATAGAAATTTTAATTTTATTCATATATTTAGGTGGTGTTTTACCACATATTAATTCATTTTTATTCAAAAGTAAATCAGGTAGTGACGATCGTAGTCAATCGGCACCTAAGGTAATGTCAAATATAATTAAATTTAAAATAAATATAATATTTGTGTCATTTCGATATGTTGGTTTTTTTAGTCAGATCTATCTCGTTCAAATACAGTTTCAATACCTCGAGCACCATCAGCTCTTACAACAAAGAGTACATCGGCTGGTGGTCTTGGTGGTAAAACAAGTTCATCAGCTGCAACAACAACAAAAAAGACTGCATCTGTATCAGGTGGAAATCCAAGCAGTTCTGCTTAAGTTTGATCAAACAATGGAAACAAAAAAGAAAGTTTTGAAACCGTAGATTAGAAAATGAAGAAAACGATTACTATCGTATTCTAATAAGAAAAAAATTTTTAGTTCTCATTACTGTTGTGTGCGTGTGTGTGTGTGCTTTTCTTTTCCTCTCTCCACTTTATATTAGATTTTTGATGTAAGAGAAAAAAAAACCAAGATTATCATTAACGTTGTTTATGTAACCTATCTACTTAATCTTTATGGTGTTCTTTTTTTGCTACCATATCGTTAGTGATGTGTTAGTGTTTATCTGGATGTTAACAAACTTGATTTGTTTTCACCTTCTTCTTCTTCTTTGTAGTGCAATTATTATCTTTATGTGTATAAGCATCTCTCTATGATGATTTCTACTATTTATGTAGATTTTTAAATTTAAATAAAATAGGAGAGTATGCAAAAAAATAAATAACAATATAATGATAGATTATTTAGTATTAGAATAATTTTGTAAATAAACATAAATTTGATAAACTATGAAGGATATGAATTAAAAGTACGACATTGAAATTTTGAAAATTGTTTTTTTTGTCGAAAAAGATTGCAGAGAAATATGATTGTTCAATATTGTGAGTTTATTTATTTATATAGACTAACGGATGAAATATAATTCTATTTCAGAAAAATCAAATAATAAAATTTATTATTTTAGAATATCACAAGAGTAAAGAACAAAAAACAAACTTAAACGATGAAATAAATCTCCATAATTATTTTATTGAGTCTGTTATGATAATAAATTTTCGAAAAAGAATCACATAACCCTTATCTTGAATGTAAATTTTTTGTATCAATTCATTAGTGATGCTCCAATAGGTTTTCTACACAGTGTACTATGTAGATGAGAAGTAAGATTTAGGGGATACAAATATCTTGCATTTCATAGTTGTGCCTGTGACCAAGATAGTAGTTCTGCTATGAAATTAATTCCACTGTATTTGTTTGCTTACTATATAATATAGAATGGGCATTTTGGTTTGTTTCAATAGTTAATTATACAGCTGAGAAAGCAATTCAAGACAAGAGAATTAAAAATAACAAATAAATTGATTCTGAAATAGTATACACTGAAAATATGCCTACATGTACAATGAAATGTCAAGTACTTTCGAATAATCTTACTGTTATATGAATTAACATAATGAGTGCCTATAGTTTTTATTAATTAATTTGTTGATTGTATATTTAAACACGAACAATAATACTTGTCAATATGTTATTACTCAAATTCCTATAGATAATTGCATGATCTATTTTATAAATTAAACAACAAATAAATACAATTTTTCATGTGTGAACAATATACAAGTAATCAAAAGACATATTCTTTGTTGTTATCAAGTTGATGAATATCCATTTGAATCATCTCAACACTCATGTTAAAAGAATATATTTATTATACATGCAGAAAAGGTATGTTTATTTTAATGTATATATTTTCATCGATTAATGATGTTCAGAACATTGTCTCTATTACGATTACAATAGCATGACAAACATTGAATTATACCAACGATAAAATTGATCTCAATTATAATGTGAGTGTGAATAGTTATTTGATGTCTTAACCATATCATACCTATGATACATGTTATAATATAAATTTATTTATTTTGCAGCACCACGCTTATCTCTCTTTTGAAGTGTTTGCCAAGTAGTTATCAAAAGCTAAATATGAGGAGAAGGATTTTAATTGATGATAATATTCACTCTTTATATGATATCATTCATGTTTGATTACCTGATTTTGATACTTATGTTTTAAATTTATAAATTAAATCGTAGCTAATATCGATTAAAAATGCTTCTGATTACAAATTGACCTAATTAAAAACTTAGTGAATGTCACTGTGACATGCATGATATTAAAATTTCTTTTAAATCTAAATTTCTGAAAATTTAATTACAAAATAGACTAAGATTGAAGCGAGCATCCTATAATATTGCCATCATAATATTTTCAATATATGTTCAAACCACTATTTTTCGAGAAATACTATAGCATCAAAAACAAATGTCTTCAACTAGCCGTTAGATGCAACCACACTGTTCATCAAAAAGGCTTTTTGTGGTGGTGATCACCTTCACTATTATCTTGGGACTGATATTCAAATGTGTAATCTTCATAGTTATCGAAGTCATAATACTTAAAATAATTCTACAAAAACTTTCAGTTGTAATAAAACTTGTCCTTGAGTGTTTCTAACCTCTCAGAGTTTGTAGAGTTCGAACTAATACTTATTTTGTATAATTGTGTTTAAGAAAATATGTTAAGATCTAGAAACACGGATGATCAAGTTTTCTAATCATTATGTCAAAATGAAACTTTCATCAATCTGTATTTTAATTTTGTTTAGCTTGAATTCAATGAGGAAATATGTATAAATAAATCTTCATGAAAATTTTCGAACTTTGCAAAGCGCAACACGGTGATCATCTTGAGTAAATTGGACTTAAGAAAATATGCTGACAGCAACAAGCATGATTAATATAATAGTTAGAAAATTTAACTACCTCCATTCTTAGATGCATCATTAATTCAAACTCTACAAAATCTCAAAGTTTTATATTAATAACAGATTCTTGTGTGATTAAATTGGTAGAAATCATTGTTCTATTTAGTATAGAGGTCAAGGAAGTCAGCCTTTCACATACAATATTCATCAAAAAGAACGTAGTTTTGAAACGTTTCAATAGGTTGAAAAATAACGTATATTTTTTTAAGACGACCGACGCTGAATTCTTGTTTTTTTTTTCTAGCATCATAGTTTTGTTTTGCTTTGTGCTAAAACGCAGTAGTCACAGGTGTAACAGGAACATTAAAGAAGAAAAAGAGGCATGAAATAAGAAAACTGCAATAACAAGAAAGAAAAAGAAAAAGAAAAAGAAAAACTTCATCATCATATCTCGACTACAATCATGCACACACGAGAGGCAAGATGAAAAGTCTCATTTGAATGAATTAAATTAACCATGACGAATACCAATAATACCAGAATCAATTAATTTTTGAATTTTTTGTGCAATTGCAGGATTACGTAAATGATCTCGTAATGCTTGTGGTTCATTTTGCATTTGTTCAAGAATTAAACGCATACCAGGATCACTAAGAATTTGTTGAATTTCAGGATCATTAGCTGCTCGTTTACGAACTTCTTCAGGATCATCATCTGATTTCACTGAACATTGTCGATAACTATCCACAGCTTCCTAAAAATAAAGTATTTATTTAAGGAAAATTTTTTTTTTGTTTTTTATTAAAATAAAGTATTTACTTGACAATTGGGATCAATTTCAAGAGCTTTACCAAATGTAGCCATTGCTTGACCAAAATCTTTCATAGCCATTAAAGCATGACCCTTACGAAGATAACATTTAACTATAAATTTAAAAAAATAAATGAAAAGAATTATTTAGTTTTTTTTTTTCTTAAATTTGATTTTGTCTTTAACTTACGAAAATTTGGATCAATTTTAATGCCTTCTTCACTATCTTTTAATGCTAATTGAAATTCCGCTAATTTTGTATAACAAGCTGCTCGATTTGAATAAAGTTTAGCATCATTTGGATTTCGTTTAATAGCCTCACTATAAGATTACAAAAAAAAAAAAACAAAAACAAAAACAAATCATTTAAATATTAATTTTAATAAAAATTAAAATCAATCTACGTACGTATAATGTTTAAGTGCAGTTGGATAATCAGCTTTTTGAAAATATTCATTACCTTTATTTTTTTCTTCTTCAGCTAATTCAGGATTAACATAAGCTGATTGTTGTTGTTCTTTAAGTAATTTTTCAATTTCTTGTTTTTTCTTTAATATATCAGGATTTCGATGTTCTGATAGTGAATGATTATAATATTTTATAGCAGCTTCATAATCTTTTTCTTGAGTTTTAACATTAGCCATACGAGCATAAGCTCTACAAAGAAGAAATTTATGTTTATATTTTAGTAATCATTTCGAATATTAGATTATTTTAACAGAAACATTTTCAATACATTGAAACTTAATTATGTCAAGAGAGAAATGATCGTATGGGTAGTTTAAAAAAAATAATCATCTAGTAAGACGAGAAGAATACTGCGTCTATAATTTCCAATGGCATCATTGGGCACTTCTCAATTCTAAAAAATTTTCTTTAGTCAGAGTGCCCTGAATTCACAAGATTGTAAAAGGGATCGAACAATTTTTTTTTGAGAATAGATGAGCTAAAAACATAACAAAACTTTTTCGAGATTGAAACCGATGTTCACCGAAGCATTGATATCCGCGTTTGCTGCCAATATTAAAACACTTACTCTATCAAAATATATCTTTTTTTTTTGTAGTGCACGTTCCAATGCTGCACTCCATTCCCGATAGAAACATTCCTGCTCTTTAATGAGAAAGTTCTAGAAGTGATCATCTCAATCTTCATACTATCTTTTTCATCATAGCGCAATAACTATGATATCAGTCATTACAAGTCAATGTGATATTTATAGTAACACCATCATATAGTCATAAAATGAATGTTTATTGTGTGCTGAAATCCTGTGATTCAATGTTAATCAAGCGAATAATCAATAATATGATATTAACTTACTTTGCAATTATTTTATAATCTGCTTTACTTTCACGTCCAATTTCAATAGCTTTTTGACATTCTTTTAAACAATCATCCCATTGTTTTTGTTCGTAATAAACAGCTAAAAAAAAGATTTTTTTGATATTAAATATAAATAAAACAAATTTTCAACTAACCAGCTCTATTTGTATAATAAGTCATATTCTTTGGATCAAGTTCAGTTGCTTTATTATAATGATTTAATGCTGTTTCAAAATCTTTTTTTTTATATGCTTCATTTCCTTTTTCTTTTTCTATTTCGGCCTAAATTTAACAAAAAAGAAATAATAGAAAGAAGAAAAAAAAAAACTAAATAAAATCTATTACTGGAGTTTGATTAGTTGTTGTAGTTTTAGTTTGTTCAGGTTTTTTATTTGTAGTTGTTGTTGTTGTTGTATTCGATGTTGTAGGTTTTGTTGTTGAAGTATTTGTTTCTTTTTTTGTTGAACTTGCTGCACTTTCACTTTCCATTTTTGAATTAAGATCATTTTCATCTCCAACATCAATGCCAAGTACAATACCAAGTAATTTCATTATTTTTGGATTACTTAAAAGTCTAACAAAAAGAAAAAAAGAAATTTTATTTTGAATAAATTATTATTACGATGGATTATTTGGATTTTGTTGCATCATTTTCATAAGCATAGCTGTTTCAGGATCTTTTAAAAGTTCTCGTGCTCTTGGATTTGTCATAAGTTGTGTTAAAAATTGTGGATCATTAAAAAAATTTAATCCACCAGTTGCATCTTTACGTGCTGTTTCAAGATCAGTTAATAATTGTTGATTATTTGGATCTATTTTAAGACCTTCTTCATAAACATTAATTGCTTCATCATATCGTTTAAGAAATGATAATGCTGCACCTTTCCGAGAATAACCCTATGACGAAAATAAATGTAATTACAAAATCAAGAAAAAACTTTGTTTTTTTTTTTTTTTTTGTTTCGAAATCTAACTTTAACAAAATCCGGTTTGAGTGTAACACATTTTTCAGCATCTTTTAATGCTTCTTCATATTTATTAGATTTAGCATATGCAGCTGATCGATTACTATAAAGAACATGATTTTTCTCATCAAGTGCTATTGCTTGAGTATACAAATTAATTGCTTCATCATTTTTCCCAGCTGCAAAAGCACCATTTGCTTTTGTTTTAAGTTCTTCAACCTAAATATATTTTCTAATCAAGATTAAAAAAAAAATAATCTTAAAATTAAGAACATTACTTGTGAAACCATTTGATATATATATATGATGACTAATGTGTGAAGAAAAAAAAAATCTACAACAACTTTTTTTATTTATATATATTAGAATAATCGAGATTTTTCTAGAAAATTCAACAAATTCCAGTTTTTTCCAATAAATAAAATGATTCGATGTTATTCTCCTCCATATAATTTTATCAAATAAATCTTAGCGACAATGCATTAATCATTTAAGAATGTCGGACAAAAAAAAAAAAAGAATAATTACCATGACAACAAACATGTACATGGCAAACGCCAAGAAAAAAAACTTTTAAATATTTGTTTTTGGAAATAAAACGATTTACTTGTCATTGTTCGACTTCTATTAAGTATTATTAAGAGGAATAAGATGAAAAACAAAATATTTCAATGTTGTCAGTATCTTTTAAGCAAGTACTCTATCGTTTTATTTAGATATATCGAAGTTAATTTTTCAATTGAATAGGTAAACTAAATCACTTCTAAAATTGAAAAATCAAATAGGATAGAACTAGTTGAGCCTGAAATTTTTAAGTCAATTAATTGACTTTAAAATGTAGAAACGTAAGATTGTTATACACTAATCAATTTTACAGTAATGAAAAATGTTCTATGTAAGTTTTACTAGTGTATGCGTAGGTGTATACCGAGACTGAGAAGTCACTGATAAAGATAAGCTTTTTTTTTCCTCTTGTCGAAAAATGGCCAAGATCTCGATCAATAAATTACAAGAATGAAAATTTTGACGTTTTTTCTTGTCAGTGTGATTGGTTTATTTAGTTGTGTGCATATCTAGATAAGACTAAGCTGATGGGAGAAAGTTTTCTAACTATTCAATCGTTTTTAAGTCGAGACTATATGCATTATATAGATCCAAATGAGTTATGAATATCGTGAAAAGAGTTCGTGTCTTTAGTTTATTACTACCGAAGAACTACACTTTTATGGTATCTTTTAAATTGTCCCTTCCTCAAAAACACTAGAAAAATTGATTTTCGAACTTTAACTTCAAACTTTTGCATAGAGACAGGTCTTAACGAGATAAGTTTCAGGTCTTTTTATTTTCTTCTATTCAAAATAAAACTACAACATTTTTTTCGAAAGATACCATAAAAGTGCAATATTTTCGTAGCAATAAGCTAAGGATATAAACTCTTTCCGAAGTATTCCTAGCTCATTTGGATCATTCACAAACTCTTGCAAGAAAATAAACTTAATCTTTGTCAGTAACTCTTCAATTTCGATACATATTTACACATACTCTAGTTAAATCTACATAGAAAATTTTCAACCACTTGATTATTATTTATGTTTGATTTGTGCATAAGAATTTTACGTCTCTATATTTTAGAACGGACTGATTGACTTCTAAAGACAACTGAATAATTAAAGTCAATTCTGTTCTATATACATGATGTAAATGAATATTTTCTATCAAACTATTGAGATTAAAGATTTTAATTCTAATTGAGTATAAATTTATCTATTCTTTTATTATTTTCAGATCTTATTTATTTTGTTAGCCTTGATTTGGTGCCTTATTATTATTATTTTTCTTTCACTCTATTTTCTTATTATTATGTGAATTAATTATAATGCCAATAGCTCGAGATCGTGTTGAACAATTACAAGTACAAAAATTAATTTATGCTGTACGAACAGAAGATGTTGAACAAGTACAAAAATTATGTGAGAAAGGTGTTGAACATCTTGTGAATTATAATGATCCACAAAATGGAATGACAGCACTTATGTAAATATATATTGAATTAAAATCATTTTTTTTTTGATTATTTTTTTTTTCTATAGAGCGGCTGTAACACAAAATAATGAAAAAATGATACAATTTCTTTTACAACTTGGTGCACATCCTGATGTTATTGATTTTACTGGTCGTACAGCTGTTATGCATGCTGCTGAATATGGTCATATAAATGCTTTACAATTATTACGTGATGCTAAAGCTAATCCAAAAATTCAAGATCTTGAAGGACGAGGTTAGATTTAATTTTTATTATTAAAAATTCAATTAAAAATATATATTTATCTTTAAGATGCAATTTATTATTGTTTTACTGAACCAACACAACGACATAAAGCATGTTTAAAAATTTTAATTGAAATGGGTGCTGATGTTAATAATCGTGCACGTAATGGTATACCAAATTTGGTACATGCTTGTTTAAAATCTGATGAACAAGAAGATTTTTGTATTGATCTTATTCGAGCAGGAGCAAATGTTCAACTTGTTGATGAAGTAAAAATATTTAATTTATTAAGAAAACAAATGAAACATTCTGTTTGTTTGTTTTTTTTTTTATAGAAAACAAAACGTACAGCTTTACATAATGCTTGTTTATCAGGAAATGCAAAAGTTGTACGAGAACTTTTACGTGCAAAAGCTGATCCAAATGTTTTAGATAGCAAACAATCAGCACCTGTTCATGAAGCAGCTAAAGGTGGTCATTTTGAGGTTAGACTGATGAATTGTTGACTTTCTACAAATAAAATGATTACTATTCTTTCTTAGGTTATTCAAGTTTTATCTGGTTTTGGTGCTAAATTTGATGTATATGATGCACTTGGTAATAATCCAATTCATTATGCTGCATCATCAAATGCTGGTACTGCAATTCGATTTTTGGGTCAACGAGGTAAACAAAAAAAAAATTCATACATTTTTTTGTTTTATTTTGTTCATAATTTAAAAATATTTATTTTTTTTCTTCTTAGGTTGTAATCCAAAAGCTAAAAATCTCGAAGGACTTATTCCAAAAAAGATTGCCGATCAAAATAAAGCAAAAGATGCAAAAAAAAATATGCGAAAAGCAGAAAAAGGCTATAATGATATGACAACAAATTTACGTCCAGGTAAATTCATCTTACATGAGAAAGAGATACAGAAGTTCTACTATTAATTAATCATTTTTGAGTTGATCACTTTGGTTCTAATGACCTATGAATATCATAAGAAGATCTCGAGATCTTATCTTATTGCGGTGAATTTTTTTTACAATATCTTTTTCTAAAACAAGCCCGTGTTTTCCATTAGGAACACTGGAAAATTCATTTTCGAATTTAGGACTTGGAATTTTGCATAACGATTGACCTTAACGAGAATAGTGTATTATGAAAACATGCTTTCACCATATGTAGTGAAAAATCACGATTTATTAATGACTTATAATTGTGAAGTTTATCAATCTATGCTGAAAAAATGAAATAGAATATTGCATGATATTTTATCAAAGGTCAATGTTTATCAACTACAAGACTGTATTACGAATAAGCTTATCGAGAAACATGAACTTCATGTTGCATATTTTGATTTTTATTGATTTATGGAGATTAAAAAAATACTCTCTTTTCTTCATTCATGAATATAAGAGAAGCATGTCTTACACGTTACTTTCGTATTGTAGTATTTTAAATAGATTCTATAGTAAAATGAGATGATTTGCATGTACAACAGATAGAGTGTTGTCTTCTTTTGATTTTTTTTTATTGACTGAAATAAATCTACTAACACATATTTAGTACAAATCTTCAGAATATAACAACCTACCTAATTCTAAGAATGGTTTTGGAGTAGAGATGTTCATGGCGACATTGCTGTCGTGGTAGGTTTTTTAGGAAGAAATTTCAAAAATACATGAGCTTGTACAGAATCTCGGTGTTCATTTATGTGATACTGTAAGACTTAGCAAATCTGATCGATTAGAAGCAGCAATTCTAGTTCAAACCAGTTACTGCTTTGAAAATCAAAACATTTTTGTTTTGAATACCATTGCGATAGCGACAGATTCTCCATCGTGATGGACGCCTATGCTTCAGAATCATTTCTTTTTTGTCGGAAATAGTCATTTTAATATATCGAAATAATAAATATCAAATAAAATACTTTACAGAACCGTTCAACCTTAATTGTCAATGAATCATGATTTATATCATGTATCGAAACTTAGGCCATTTTCACGATATGGATTTAAATAGAAACCTGAAACTTTCATAACAGACTATTCTTATTAAGGCTTATCTTTATGCAAAACTGCAAGTTACAATTCATAAATCAGTTAATAGAAACCACAACTTTGATTTCAAAAAATCAGCTAAGGATTCGAATTCTTTTCGCGATATGCATCCCCATGTGATAACTATCATCGATTCTATTTTTGAAAGTGTTGTATCGCGGAATATTCTATGAAAATAAATGAATATTTTTGAAGTCTATCAAAACTGATTGAATTGAATCGATATTTCGATGCACAATGATGCGTGTGAGCCATCTCTACTAGTTCCAGTTATAAGATAGATTTTTATTAGTAAAATATATTTTGAAATTATTTTCTTCTCGATTAATTCAAATTCTAATAAAGAATTTGAATTAGAGTAGAAAACACTTTCGAACATCGGTTTTTTTTTTAAGCTGAAATCGAAAGTCTTAAGTATTATCATTAATATTAATATTTTGTAAATATTTAGATGAATTTCGTGATTGGAAATTAATGCTTTATGATTATGTATATGAAAATCAAGAACGACTTGAAAAAATCTTTGAAGAACTTGATATTGCTGAACCAAAAACGGGTGTTATACCAACGGATGGTTTTAAAAAAGTTCTTGAAGATGAAACTTATTTTTCATTTCTTAAACCAGATGATATTAAAGATATTTGTGAAAAACATGAAAAAGATCGAAATGAATTTGATTATAAAGCATTTTTAACTGGAAAGAAATATTTAACAAAACCTTATTTAATGGCTGCATTTGCAGGAAAAAAAAAGAAAAAGAAGAAACCAAAAAAAGCTAAAAAACAAAAAGGTGCTCTACCAAGTAAGTCATTTATTTAATGAGAAAAATTTCTTCAAATATATATATTCATATAAAATCATTTTCTTTTAGTTGCTATTCAAGATGAAGGTCCTAGAACAGCTAATGGTAATCCACCAGTAATCTATGCACCACAACATGTTCATTATACAGACAATACAAGATTTTCACGAGATAATTTACCGAAAAACCCTTTAGAAGATGATTCACCATGGTATTTAGATAAACCTGATAGAGGTTATGTTAATTTATGTGATGCTGGTTAGATAAAATCTATTAATAATTATAATAATAATACTATTATTATTATTATTGTTTTTTTGTTAATAGCTTATCGAGGTGATTTACAAACTTTATTGGATGCATTTAAACGAGGCACACAAGTAGATGTAACAGACAAATTTATGAAAACACCATTAATGGTGGGTAAGTAACTCAAAATATATTAATATTTTTTCTTTCTAATATAAAAAAAAAACCTATCATTGATTCTAGCATGCGCTCATGGTGATCTGAAAACAGTTCGATTTCTTCTTACATGCGGGTAAGTCACAACAAGAATAACAAAAAAACAAACAATTCTTCTTTTTTCAATCGTTTATTTTCAGAGCTGATGTTAATATAGTCGATAATTTTAAATGGACACCACTTCATCATGCTGCACATAGTGGTATTCTTGATGTTGTTCAAGTAATTGTTGAAGCCGGTGGAGCAATAAATGCTGAATCATTAACAAAAGCAACCCCATTAATGCGTGCTATTGAAAGTTCATCATTTCCAGTTTGCGAATATCTTATTAATAAAGGTGCTAAAGTTACACATGAAAATATTTCCGGTTTAGAACCATTAACTGTTGCTGCCGAATTTGCTGATCCACGTATTTATCATTTAATTAATGAAAAAGTTAATGCTACCAGTGGAGGTAAACCTAAAAGTGCAGCAGGAAAAAAAAGTGGATCAGCATCAACAAAGAAACGACATCAATCACCAGCAAAAAGTACCAAAGCAGATACAGTAATTAAATTCATATAAGAAAAAAAGAAAACAACTTTTTATTATATGTTTTTTCTTTTTTTGTTTAGAAAGCAGCAGCAACTGTTCAACAAACACCAGCTGTTCAGCAACCACGACGTGGTTCTTTATTACGTGCTGCTGCTGAATTAGCTAAATCATTTGAAAATACGGAATCAATTGCTTTTCATCCAAAAACAAAATGGACTGATTTACCAACAACAAAAGAACTTTTACATGAAAAAGGTGTTGTACGTGATCGTCTTGGTTGGGAAGTTGATTTTAGTGATTTTAAAATGCCATTTATGAGTAATGTTAGTAAACGATTAGAACAAATGACATTACCTGAAGTTAAAATATAAAGAAAATATGTGCCTTGACTTTTGACGGTTCTTTTTTCTTCTCTGTTTGTGAATGTGAAATGATTTTGTACTTCTTCTTTTTTCTTTTTGTAAGACATTATTTTTCTTTTGAACTTTTTAGTGTCTTCTATTGTCGAGCTTTGGTTTTTCTTTTGTCCAGAATAAAGTGTTCTTCGAGAAAATCTTCTGTCTAGAACTCGACAAAATGTGATGATCTTCTAACATGATTTAAATTGTTTAAGAGAAATAATCAAATATTCAATTTAATTCTCTGCAACTAGGTCGGTTCCGGTGCCGAGCATGAAAACAAAAATGTCGACTCGGATTCGATTCGATAATTAATAAGATCTTGACGTTTCAGACTATTTTTACTTTTTCATACTGCTAATTGAAGACATAGGAGTGAAAATCTGAGCAATTGTATTTGAGAATAGGTCACAGAAATGAAAACGATATTTTTTTTTACTAAAAGAGTTCGTTGTTAATGAAAATTCATCGACAGATGACGATGATGATGAATCATATGACAAAGTAACTGAATATATTGAGCAGAGTTGCCACCTCTTCTACTTTTCGAACATTTTTCTGTCCTTTCTGCTTCTCTTGTTTTTTTAGACATTCTGTCTTGTATATTCTTAAGTAAGACTTTTGATACTGCTGGACCATTATTCTAAAAATATTCGGAAAATTCTTATTAATATCTACTAATAATTTTACGTCACCCTTTATATTATAAGATAATATCAGGAAAATTTCTGCTTTTCACTGGCTAAGAAAAAATCGCCAATCTATATTCTTCGTACAGACTTCTGACTTTATCTATGTCTTTCTTCCTGTCGTATTTTCTACTAGTCATCTGATTCATACAAATCAATATATGTAATCACAAAAAGATTTTTCTATCTGGATAATATTTTGACGATAAAA